GACGCTTATTCGGTACCTCAGAGTAGAGGCAAACCCTGTAGCGATCTATCACAAGGCTGACCACAGGTCAAGCAGAGAGGGTTTGGTTACAGTAAACTCTCTGAGCCTAGTCAAGCCAGTGCTGCTCATTAGTTTGGTTTGTTTTGGTAAGTGTTTTACGGCTCTGGCAACTGCATAATAAGGTCATATGAGCGCGCGGGACACACCTAATAATATTTTAAGTTGGTAGAAAATTTTGAATTTTGCCTGGGTAGCGGCCGAAGCCTACTCTTATCGATTTTAGACCACCAAAGGATCTTTTAACGTGCGCAACTTGCACACGGGTCCTCCGAGATTTTTCGCCCTTGTCCGAGAAGGCTAGGTGTAGATCTTTCCAACCAGAAGATCAGGGGTGTGGCTGAAAAAACAACAGTAAGAAGGAGCCAAGTGGCAGCAGTAGAAAGGCTGCAGAAAGAGTCAGGAGCCCAGAGGAGGGGGCAAAGGAGGTAGGGGGGGGGGCAGAAAGAGGAGACGAAACCAGACGACAGAACATTGCTAGAGAGCAGAAAAAGAGGTGAAAGGAGACAATTTTAGAGAAGAAAAGTTTTTGATCGCTACCCAGAATCGAACCCGGGACCTTTTGAATGAGAGGCCAACACCTTAACCTCTAGGCCACGAGAGCCCTCTGCTCATTAGTTTGAAACAATGTAACCATACAGAACAAGCACAACTGGGGGAATAAGGTTGTTGGTTTTGCTGGGAGTTTTACGGAGCTCCATGAGGCTTTATGAGTGAGCACGAGGGACACATGAAACATTATTTTGAATTTTGCCCAGTGGCGGCCTAAGCCTACTTTTATTGGTTTTGGACCACCAAGTAATCTTTATCCTGCGGAACGTGCACACGGCACCTTTTAAATTGTTCGTCCTGATCCGAGAAGGCTAGGTGTTAGATATTACCTATCCTAATATCTGGAGTGTGACTGAAAGACAACAGTAAGAAAGAGCCAAGGAGTAGCAGTAGAAAGGATGTAGAAAGAACCAGGAACCCTGAGGAAGGGGCAATTGTGGGCTGAGGGAGGGGGGTGGCAGAAAGTGGAGACGAAAGCAGACGACAGAACATGGCTAGAGAGCTGAAAAGGAGGCGAAAGAAGAATATTTTAAGAGGTTTCGAACCTGGGACCTATTGAATGAGAGGCAAACAACCTAACCTCTAGACGACGAGAGGATGAAAG